AAACAACTCCGCCCCCCAAAAAGCTGTAGATAAGAACAAATCAGATTCCATAGATTTTTTTTTTTTAAAGGCTTTTTTGTAAAAACTGAATTTTCAAGGATATAATTGATATGTATGTGAACAGGTTGTTGATCCAAGGATAAATCTGGTTTCCATTATGGAGTCAATAATTGGAAATGGCCAAAATAGTTTTTGCCTTCTTTTGGATCAACACCATAAAATAATGGGCCTTAAGGTTGAATTTGTCTTTTTCCGGCCTTGACAACTATGTAACTCCTATTCTTTTCAAATTAATAAATTAATAGTGTGTATAGAGGCAGCTTCTTAAAGAGAAATAAAGACTGGACCTTTTTGCCGGCTCAGGGCGCAAGCCAGCAATAGAAGGGGGATTGGGATGGAGGGAGCGAGGGAAAGGAGGCGGAGGGAGGGCAGGCAAATTAAAAAATAATGGAGGGGGGAGGAAAGTGTGAGTGGGGGAGGAGGAGAGAAGATCATCATAGAAAAAGCAATTGAGCACTTGGTGAACTTGTTAGCAGATTCTTGGAGGTTTTCCCAAGGTTAATAAGTATAACCTCTAATTCACAGCAAAACCGGCCACGTCCTCCAGATACAGGAAATCGAAGAGAGTATGACAGGAAAACAGACAGATACAGGAAAACGCAAGAGAGTATGACTCCTGACCCCCAACAACAAGAACCATCACACACGGTAAGTACTGGTTATACTTACCTCCCAACAGTTAACATGGACAAGGAGGGGGTGTGGCTGGGGAGTGACCAGAGAAGGAGGGGCTGTTCTGAGTGTGAGTGTGGCTGTGGCCAGGAGCGGTGCTGCTCTGAGAAATCTTAGGTGAATTACTAATAACAATTTATAAAAAGCAAAATGTAATTTAGTAGAATAACAATGTATCTTATCTACACAAAGTTATTTCTTTTTATAATTCTTTATTTTTGTTGTGCATATAGATATCACAGGCAGGTAAGAGGTGCCCCAAAAGCAGTCCTCCAACTTTTCCCACGCTCAACATGCGGGGCACATTATGAACAGGCACGTTTTATATTAATAACTCGTAGAGACATTCGCTTGTGTAGGTAGCTATATGGTTAATTTAAGCGAGATCTATGCGTTGGCTATGCTTTTGATTTCTAAGCAGTGTTGGCGTACAATATATACCTTGAAAAACTAAAGCATTATGATTAGGCATTAAGCGAGCTTGGTTAGGAACCGGTTAAAGTGTTGTGACATCGCTTTAGTGCTATTAGTGCGCAGGCTTTGTTTTGATTATCTGAGCAATTCAAGGACACAATGTACATCATGAGAGTAATCTAACACACTATGAGTAGGTAATAAGCAGTAGGTAAAGGAAGTTACATCACTTTAGCGTTAGTAATGCGTAATGCTTTAAATTACTAAACAATGCAGGCATATAAGATATCATGAAAATAATCTAAAGCCTTCTGAGTAGGCATTTGTTAGCAACAGGCTAAAGTCAGTTTCATCGCTCTGGTGTTAATGTCACCCCGGCCGATCAGGATTGCCCATGCTGCCTCTGCAGGGAGCCGTCTTCTTGGTAGTCCTGAGACCCCATATTCTGGGGGGAGTCCCACTATCATCTCCACCTGCTCTGACCACTCCGCGTATGTGGGAGTCTATGCCTGGGTGGTGTTGCAGGCTGGGTGTGTGGTGAGTGATCAGTCCGTTCAGGCGGCAATAGTCGGTGCGTGGGTTACCTCTGGTACTCCTATGCCGCCGTTATCATTGCTGGTTCAGTTGGCTGTGAGGGTGAGTAGTAATGATCCAGCTACTTGATTCAGCCGGTTCTGGAGGCCGGAGCCACATTGTTAGTCGGTAGGTGCTGGGTCTCCCTTCTTTTCTAGCGCACATGGCGCCCGCCATCTTGGGTCTAGCGGGTTGTCCCCACAGCTTCAGCTGCGGCTTCCCAGTCAAGGCTCCAGGGTGAGGACCGGGATCACCCCCCCGGTCCATAGGGGGGGGGGAACGGGGCCGGGACCGTCCAGACTCGTGTCTCAGGTTGGGTGCTGTGTTGCAGGATAGTGGGGCAGCGGCCGTCTGCCCCACTCACCGCCGGAGAAGGCCTCAAGTAGATTTGCTAAGAATTCTCCTCCAGGGGACTGTAGCCCGGTGGGCCAGCCTCTCCCTGGATCCAGCAGACCCCTAGTGTAGGCACCAGTGCTGTCGGTCTGCGTTTCTTCTTAAAACATTTTTTTTTTTTGTCGTTTTCAATGTGAATTTGCAGGAGCTCTGCTTGCCTGCGACCGTCCAGCTCGGCGGTCCGGCCCCGCCCCCCCCACAAAGTTATTTCTAAACACATTTATTGTAGTTTAAAGACCCATTATCGGGAATATTATTGCTGCGGAGCTCTGATATACACTCAGACACATTACTGGGAGTATTATTACCGTGGAGCTCTGTTATACACTCAGACACATGGCTGGGAGTATTATTGCTGTGGAGTTCTGTTATACACTCAGACACATTACTGGGAGTATTATTGCTGTGGAGCTTTGTTATACACTCAGACACATTACTGGGAGTATTATTGCTGTGGAGCTCTGTTATACACAGACACATTACTGGGAGTATTATTACTGTGGAGCTCTGTTATACACTCAGACACATTACTGGGAGTATTATTGCTGTGAAGCTCTGTTATACACAGACACATTACTGGGAGTATTATTACTGTGGAGCTCTGTTATACACTCACACATTACTGGGAGTATTATTGCTGTGGAGCTCTGTTATACACTCAGGCACATTACTGGGAGTATTATTAACGTGGGGCTCTGTTATACACGCAGACACATTACTGGGAGTATTATAGCTGTGGAGCTCTGTTATACCAGATTAATTTTGTTATAGAAGGGATTAAGATCATTTTAACCAATAATTATTTTTGGTTTTTAGACTCATTTTTTTTATC